AAAAAAGAAAAAAGATTACAATACAAATAGAATTTCATTACAATTCACAAATTATACTAGTAATTATAAATATCAAATTAATTCATTAACAACATTAATTGATAGCAAATTCTTTCAATAACTTCATAATATCATTCAAATAAAAAAATACTAATTCACGCGTCGTACCAAATAAAAAAAATTAACAAAAGATACTAAATTTTTTTTTTTAGTAATAATCAATCAAGATTGTCAAGAATCATTTCCGTTTTACTTTATAATAATCAACGGGATTATTGGATACATAAAAAATATATACATAATTTTTGTATAATTTTATTATTATTTTTATATAATCTAACATTATTTTTTTTAATTTATATAAAATTTATAATATTAAAAATACTTTTTAATTTAAATAAGTATAAAAATTATATAAAAAATAATATAAAAAAATTATCCCAATTACTATCTTTCACCTAAATTGTTGACGAGTGGAAAAGAGTGATGTAATCTCTATGGTACAATTCGCCCACGTGCAACGCAACGTTTTGCCCGTTCACTATCACCGATCATTTTTTTTACTACTTCCCAGATTTAAAATCAACACCGACACCTGTCTATTAACTCAGCCGTCCGATTGATCCCACACTTTAATCCAACGTACCCGACTAAGCGTAGACCGATTGTTGAAACAATGCCCGTGAACTGAAATCAGCGTCCCTCTTCTTCCCCCCTCTTATAATTAATTCTCCAAAACTTCTTGCTTTCAATTTCCATTGCTTGCTGATTCTCTCGTCTCTGTAAGTGTCTCTCTACCTTCGATTTTGGTTCTGGGTATTGCTTCTGATTCTGGGTTTGTGTTAATTTCTTGTTTTTCAGTTGTGGATATACTGAAGATGGCTGAGGCTGACAATGGTGAAGAAATCAAAACCTCTGGGTTTTCTTCTTCCTCTTCTTGTTCCCGTCGTGTGGCTCTCAATGAGAGGATTCTTTCTTCAATGACACGGAGATCTGTTGCTGCTCATCCATGGCATGACTTGGAGATTGGTACGATTTCCTTTTACACTTTGCGTTGTTAAAAGTCTTCTTTTCCGTGCTCGAGCTAATCGAGACCTTTCTCCTTGTATATGTGCAGGGCCTGGTGCTCCATCAGTTTTCAACTGTGTAAGTTTTGCTTTCTTAATGTTGATAATCTCACCTGGGTTTGGTTAAAGCCATCTGGGTCTCTGCTTCTTTACTTTTTCATAAAAGTTTTATGATGATTGATGGATTCTTAGGGAAATAAAGATTTAGTGATTCTTTTGTTAAATTAGGATTTCTGTGTTATGTCCGAAAACATTCATTGAAGAATAAATTTTTCTCTGCAAAATTGTATTCCAGGTGGTGGAAATTGGTAAAGGAAGCAAAGTCAAGTACGAGCTGGACAAGCCTAGTGGACTTATCAAAGTGGGATTTTTCTATCTTATTTACCTTATGAATAGATCTCCTTATGGTTTTCCTATTTCTTTCCATGTCAAACATGTTATGCTTGAGGTGCATTGTTTTTTTATGCTAAGCTAGCAAGCTTGCTTGATTTTTGATTCAGTATTAAGAAGTGTCTGTTCTACCGAGATATAACTGACAAATAGGATGTAGGTATCTAGGTTTTAGATTTGCTGGTATTGGCAAAATAGAATTCAGCTATTGAGTCTTGACTATTTTGACTTATAAAGACCTATGTCAAATATATCAAATGTTCTTTTGTCACTGGTTACCAGTTTCTGAAATGTTATACTATTTATTTACCCCTTTTAAGCTGTCCTGTATTTTTGAGTGCAAATAGAATTCCATGGAGATAACAACAAATTTTCAAATACATGTTGAATTTTGGTTGACAAATATAATCATGTTAGTTACCCTTGTTTTATTTCAATTACTTTTCACTGTTTACTGAGATGGTGGCCTTTGATGTAACACTATGGAACACATTATTTTGCTCTTACACAATGAAATATCATTTGACTGATTCCTTTAAAATAGGTTGATCGTGTTCTCTATTCATCTGTTGTTTACCCACACAACTATGGTTTTATCCCTCGGACCATTTGTGAAGACAGTGATCCCATGGATGTGCTGATACTGATGCAGGTATTGTCCTCTGATTCATAAAATTTTGTAAGGGAATAAACTTAGGTGCTTGGATTCAGCTGAACTGATTTAACTTATGCTAGATGTATCTCATATATAGGAACCAGTGTTATCTGGATCTTTCCTTCGTGCTCGAGCTGTTGGATTAATGCCAATGTTTGATCAGGTAAAACTTTGTCCTTGTCTGCCTTCTTTTGTAGCAAGGCAGTATCACCATGGAATTGAAATGTATTTGCAGTCTCATGGCTGTCAGGGAAGAATGGAAACATTTATTCAGGGTCCATAGATGCAGTCTAATAAAGCTTATCATATTGCATTGGATTATGGAACTATCCTTGTGCCTGATATAATTTATTATCACTGCATTCGTTGCTCAGTTCTCTCTATTAGGTTCATGCATCTAGCAGATATGGTGGCTTTTGTGAATTATCATTTGTCACAAGGTCCCAAAGCTTCTAATGCAACTTCCCAATCCCAGATACCCTCCTCTTCCTCCTTTTTTTTTCTCCTCCTGGACATCTGATCTGATTACAATAAGCATTTTACAGGGTGAGAAGGATGACAAGATTATAGCTGTATGTGCTGATGACCCTGAGTTCCGCCATTACACAGACATCAAACAGCTTCCCCCCCATCGCCTGGCTGAAATCCGTCGCTTCTTTGAGGACTGTATCCTATCACACAATCTTATTAAACTTGCATATAGTAACTATTATTGCTTGTTACAATTATTCTTTTGCAGTAATGGTAGCAACTAATTACAGCATCTATTCTTTGCATTTTTACCTTCACTTGTAAACAATAGACAAAAAGAATGAGAACAAGAAGGTTCTTGTAGAGGACTTTCTGCCAGCTGAGGCTGCTATTGATGCCATCAAACACTCCATGTGAGTTTTTTTAAATGAAACATTATCCTTCTGATATTGTTCATCATCTATTTTGGGCCCCTGTACTGGCCTTGTAGGCTTTGGATTTTATGTCTCTCACAAGGATGTCTTGTGTTTCAGGGATCTGTATGCATCTTACATTGTTGAAAGCTTGAGGAAGTGAACTTGGTGATCACCTGGCATTTTACAGTGTGATTTTTTATCGATCAGTTATGCTATTTGTCATCCAAACATCTAATCATATTTTGCTAAATATCTGAACATGCTAAGAATTCAGTTTGGACAATGCTCACGCTGCTCTTATATAATATTACCATCTACATTGAATCTTACCTGCATCTTTGCTGTTTGTGAGAATTGAAAATTTTTGGGCTTGTGATGATGATGTAAATGGGTATAAGTTGGTTTATGCAATGCAAGGATTGGGAATTTGTTCTTTGTAATCTTGGATTTTGCAGTAGGATCGGGATTTTTTTTTTCCCTGTTATTTACTGGGATTAGCAATTGATTTCCCATGTAGAATTTAGACATCATTCCCGGTTTATAGATAACCATGGACTAGCCGTTGCTTCTTCATCCTTCATTCCCAAAACTCTATTCAAAGGTTCTGCCACTCTGTCCAGCAATGGCTTACACCAAAGTTGTTTTGCATTGCTTCTCACCCTCACCTCTCCTCTTCTCATCGCCCTTCTACAGTCCTGCAATGCGAGCATTCTATGGCGTTTGTGGGATTGATGCTGTATATCAATTACAAGATTCAATATCCAACACTGGCAGTCTAATTATGGAGAATCCAGCTGCCTCAATCTTCTCTAGACTTCCATACGGTGAAATGCACCAGGTAGATGCTCCAATGGCTTACTCATGGTCAATTACATGGCTATGTCTGCTGGCATTCCTCTGTTGTGGCCTTAAAGACGGAGGTCCGTCTGCTCACGGAGTGAATTTCACTGTTGCTGG